GGTGAGTGATGTAGCCTGAGTGAGTGATGTAGCCTGGGTGAGTGATGTAGCATGGGTGAGTGACTGTAGTTGGGAGAGTTATGTTTAGCCTGGGGGGGTGAGTGATGTAGCCTGGGAAAGTGATGTAGCCTGCTGAGTGATGCAGCCTGATGGTGATATAGCCTGGGTGAGTGATGTAGCCTGGGTGAGTGATGTAGCCTGGGTGGGTGATGTAGCCTGGGTGGGTGATGTAGCCTGGGTGGGTGATATAACATGGATGAGTGAAATAGCCCTTGTGAGTGATGTAGCCTGGTGGAGTGATGTAGCCTGGGTGAGTGATGTAGCCTCGGTGAGTGATGTATCCTGGGTGAGTGACGTAGCCTGGGTGAGAGAGGTAGCATGGGTGAGTGATGTAGCCTGGATGAGTGAGGTAGCTTGAGTGAGTGAGGTAGCCCTGGTGAGTAATGTAGCCTGGGTGTGTGGTGAAGCCTGGGTGGGTGATGTAGTCTGTGTGAGTGAGGTATCCCTTGTGAGTGATGTAGCCTGGATGAGTGATGTAGCCTGGGTGAGTGATGTAGCATGGGTGAGTGAGGTAGCCCTGGTGAGTGATGTAGCCTGGGTGAGCGAGGAAACCAGGGTGAGTGAAGTATCCTGGATGAGTGAGGTAGCCTGGATGAGTGAGGTAGCCCTTTTCAGTGATGTAGCCTGGGTGAGTGATGTAGCCTGTGTGGGTGATGTAGCCTGGGTGAGTGAGGTAGCCCTGGTGAGTGATGTAGATTGGGTGAGTGATGTAGCCAGGGAGTTTTATTTAGCCATGGTAAGTTATGTTGCCTGGGTGAGTGATGTAGCCTGGGTGAGTGATGTAGCCTGGGTGAATGATGTAACCTGGGTGAGTGATGTAGCCTGGGTGAGTGATGTAGCCTGGGTGAGTGATGTAGCCTGGGTGAGTGATGTAGCATGGGTGAGTGAGGTGCCCTGTGTGGAGTGATGTAGCTGGGGAGTGATGTAGCCTGGGTGAATGATTGTAACCTGGGTGAGTGTGTAGCCTGGGTGAGTGATGTTGCCTGGGGTGAGTGATGTGCTGGGTGAGTGATGTATTTGGGTGAGGACGTAGCTGGGTGAGTGATGTTGCCTGGGTGAGTGATGTAGCCTGGGTGAGTGATGTAGCCTGGATGTGAGTGATGTAGCCGGGATGGTGATGTAGCCTGGGCTGAGGTGTAGTCCTGGGTGAGTGATGTAGCCTAGGTGAGTGATGTAGCCTAGGTGAGTTGATGTAGCAAGGGTGAGAGTGATTGGTATCCTGGGTGAGTGATGTAGCCAGGGTGAGTGATGTAGCCAGGGGTGAGTGATGTAGCCAAGGGTGAGTGATGTAGCCTGGAGCGTGATGTAGCCTGGGTGAGTGATGTAGCCTGGGTGAGTGATGTAGGCTGGGGTGTGTATGTAGCCTGGTGGGTATGTAGCCTGGGGGAGTGAGTAGCCTGGTGGCAGTGCCCTGGGTGTGTGATGTAGCTGGGTGAGTGAAGTAAGCCTGGGTGAGTGATGTAGCCTGGGTGAGTGATGTTAGCCGGAACGTGAGTGATGTAGCCTGGGTGAGTGATGTTGCCTGGGTGAATGATGTAACCTGGGTGAGTGATGTAGCCTGGGTGAGTGATGTAGCCAGGGAGTTTTATTTTGCCATGGTAAGTTATGTTGCCAGGGTGGTGATTTAGCTGGGTGAGTGATGTGCTGGGTGAGTGATGTAGCCTGGTGTGTGAGTAGCCTGGTGAATGATGTAACCTGGGTGATTGATGTAGCCTGGGTGATGATGTTGCCCGTTGGTGAGTGATGTAGCCTGGGTGAGTGATGTAGCCTGGTGATTGACGTAGGCCTGGGTGAGTGATGTAGTCTGGGTGATTGACGTAGCTGGGTTGATTGATGTAGCCTGCATGAGTGATGTAGTCTGGATGAGTGAATGTAGCCTGGCTGAATGATGTAGCATGGGTGAGTGATGTAGCCTAGGTGAGTGATGTAGCCTGGGTGAGTGATGTAGCCTGGGTGGAGGATGTAGCCAGAGTGGAGTGGATGTGCCAGGGTGAGTGATGTAGCCCGTGAGAGTGAATGTAGCCTGTGTGAGTGATGAGCTGGGTGAGTGATGTAGCCTGGGTGTGTTGATGTTAGCCAGGGTGAGGATGTAGCCTGGGTGAGTGATGAAGCCTAGGTGAGTGATGTAGCGGGGGGGGGGGTCAGGGTGAGTGATGTTAGCCAGCGTGAGTTATGTAGGCAGGGTGAGTGATGTAGCCTGGGGTGAGTGATGTAGCATGGTGATTGGATGTATCCTGGGTGGTTATGTAGGGCCTTGGTGAATGATGTAGCATGGGTGAGTGATGTTAGCCTGGGTGTGTGAGTAGCCCTGGGTTGAGTGATGTAGCCTGGGTGAGTGATGTAGCTTGGGTGAGTGATGTAGCCTGCGTGAGTGGTGTAGCCTTGGTGAGTGATGTAGCCTGGTGAGTGATGTAGCCTTGGTGGAGTTGATGTTGCCAGTGTGAGTGATGTATCCAGGGTGAAGTGAGGTAGCTGGGTGAGTGATGTAGCCAGGGTTAGTTGATGTAGCCAGGTGAGGGTTGAGGTAGCTGGGTGAGTGATGTATCAGGGTGAGGATGTAAGCCCAGGGTGAGTGATGTAGCCCCTTTTTTAGTTGAGTGATGTAGGCCTGGGATGAGGGACGTAGCCTGGGAGACGAGGTAGCGGGTGTGAGTGATGTAGGCTGGATGAGTGGAGGTAGCTGGAGCCCCCCGGTGAGTGAGGTAGCCCTGGTGAGTAATGTAGCCTGGGTGAGTGGTGTAGCCTGGCTGGGTGATGAAGTCTGGGTAAGTGAGGTAGCCCTGGTGAGTGAAGTAGCCTGGATGAGTGATGTAGCCTTGGTGAGTGATGTAGCATGGGTGAGAGAGGTAGCATGGGTGAGTGATTGTAGCCTGGGTGAGGATGTAGCCTTGGTGAGTGATTTTGGCCAGGATGAGTGATGTAGCAAGGGTGAGTGAGGTAGCCTGGGTGAGTGATGTAGCCTGGGTGAGTGATGTAGCCTGGGTGAGTGATGTAGCCTGGGTGAGTGATGTAGCCTGGGTGAGTGATGTAGCCTGGGTGAGTGATGTAGCCTGGGTGAGTGATGTAGCAAGGGTGAGTGAGGTAAGCCTGGGTGAGTGATGGTCGCCTGGGTGAGTGAGTAGCCTGGGTGAGTGATGTAGCCTGGGTGAGTGATGTAGCCTGGGTGAGTGATGTAGCCTGGGTGAGTGATGTAGCCTGGGTGAGTGATGTAGCCTGGGTGAGTGATGTAGCAAGGGTGAATGAGGTAGCCTGGGTGAGTGATGTCGCCTGGGTGAGTGATGTAGCAAGGGTAAGTGAGGTAGCCTTGGTGAGAGATGTAAATAACAAAAAGGCACAATACCGTGACTGGAACGATACACAAATAACCCGCACATAAAAGAGAGAAGCTTACGACGACGTCGTCGTAAGCTTCTCTCTTTTATGTGCGGGTTATTTGTGAGAGATGTAGCCTGGGTGAGCGAGGTAACCTGGATGAGTAAAGTAGCCCTGGTGAGTGATGTAGCCTGGGTGAGTTATGTAGCCTGGGTGGGTGATGTAGCCTGGGTGAGTGAGGTAGCCCTGGTGAGTGATGTAGCCTGGGTGAGTGATGTAGCATGGGTGAGTGATGTAGCCTGGGTGAGTGATGTAGCTGTTTGAGTGAAAGTAGCTGGGTTGAGTGATGTAGCCAGTGTGTTTTATTTAGCAAGGGTAAGTAATGTTGCCAGGGTGAGTGATGTAGCCTGGGTGAGTGATGTAGCCAGGGTGAGTGATGTAGTCTGGGTGAGTGATGTAGCCTGGGTGAGTGATGTAGCATTGGTGAATGATGAAACCTGGGTGAGTGATGTAGCCTGGGTGAGTGATGTAGCCTGTTTGAGTGAAGTAGCCTGGGTGAGTGATGTAGACTGGGTGAGTGATGTAGTTGGCGAGTGTGTAGCTGGCGTGAGTGATGTAGCCTGGGTGAGTGATGTAGCCTAGGTGAGTGGTGTAGCCTGGGTGAGTGATGTAGCCTGGTGAGTGATGTAGCCTTGGTGAGTGATGTAGCCAGGGTGAGTGATGTAGCCAGGGTGAGTGAGGTAGCCTGGGTGAGTGATGTAGCCAGGGTGAGTGATGTAGCCAGGGTGAGTGTGGTAGCCTGGGTGAGTGATGTAGCCAGGGTGAGTGATGTAGCCAGGGTGAGTGATGTAGATAGGGTGAGTGATGTAGCCTGGTGGAGTGATGTAGCCTGGGTGAGTGATGTAGCCTCGGTGAGTAATGTAGCCTGGGTGAGTGACGTAGCCTGGGTGAGAGAGGTAGGATGGGTGAGTGATGTAGGCTGGATGAGTGAGGTAGCTTGGGTGAGTGAGGTAGCCCTGGTGAGTAATGTAGCCTGGGTGAGTGGTGAAGCCTGTTTGGGTGATGTAGTCTGGGTGAGTGAGGTAGCCCTTGTGAGTGATGTAACCTGGATGAATGATGTAGCCTGGGTGAGTGATGTAGCATGGGTGAGTGAGGTAGCGCTGGTGAGTGATGTAGCCTGGGTGAGCGAGGTAACCTGGGTGAGTGAAGTAGGCTTAATGAGTGAGGTAGCCCTGGTGAGTGATGTCGCCTGAGTGAGTGATGTAGCCTGGGTGGGTGATGTAGCCTGGGTGAGTGAGGTAGCATGGGTGAGTGATGTAGCCTGGGTGAGTGATGTAGCCTGGGTGAGTGATGTAGTCTGGGTGAGTGACGTAGCCTGGGTGAGTGATGTAGTCTGGGTGAGTGATGTAGCCTGGGTGAGTGATGTAGCCTGGATGAGTGATGTAGCCTGGATGATTGATGAAAGCCTGGGTGAGTGATGTAGCCTGGGTGAGTGATGGTAGCCTGGGTGAGTGATGTAGCCTGGGTGAGTGATTAGCAAGGGGACGTGATGTATCCTGGGTGAGTGATGAGTCTGGGGTGAGTGATGTTTAACAGGGTGAGTGATGTTGCAGGGTGAGTGATATAGCATGGGTGAGTGATGTAGCTGGGTGAGTGATGTAAGGCCTGGGTGAGTGACGTAGCCTGGTGAGTGATGTAGCCTGGGTGAGTTGATGTAGCTGGGTGAGTGATGTTAGCCTCGGTGAGTGATGTAGCCAGGGAGTGATGTAGCAGGGTGTGGATTATGTAGCAGGGTGAGTATGTAGCCTGGGTGTAGTGATGTAGCCTGGTGAGATGTGCCTGGGTGGTGATGTAGACTGGGTGAGTGATGTAGCCTGGGTGAGTGATGTAGACTGGGTGAGTGATGTAGCCTGGGTGAGTGAGGTAGCCTGGGTGTTTTATTTAGCCAGGGTAAGTAATGTTGCCATTGTAAGTAACACGTACTCATAATAGCTATGAACTATTAGACAGTATATAAAATGGAGAAAAAAATAATTTACTGCATCTATGTATTTGCGAGTCTGGAAATCGCAAAAAAATTTTTATGGAAAGTTAAAACGAACAGTTTCTGTTACTGATTGATATCTGTTATATAAATAGTACTACTCAATGAAATAATATGTATTTTTTTTAAACTCAGGAGTGGTAGACAGAAGCACGGAGCTGCTGGCTGTTAACCCAGATCCTATATCACTTGATGAATTATTTAATATCGCTGATAGTTTTAACATTGAACGGTGGCTGAACTCTCAGATCAACGTCTATCAGTATTGCTTAAATAAGAAATTGAGTGAACCTGCAAAAACCCCAGGTTAGTTCATTTTTTTATGTATTCAGCGGTATTTTCTTCTCGTTTACTGTTAATCTATGGAAAATACTTGAGAGTAATTAACCAATATTTGCACAGACACCATAGAATTAACAATATCCTTAACTAGAAACACTCTACAAACAAAAGAGATCTAAATTAAGTTCACTTAATATAAATTACATTTAAACAAATTTCAAGACTAGAAAGCAGGTCTTTTAAGACTGTCTTGCCTGACGGGCTTAAAATCACAATTTGTGATAACTTTAATTTTCCAACTAAATGTATTAAGTAAAGTAAAAGAACACAAGTGCAACTAATGTGACATTTTATTGTGGCAACTTTATTATAAATTTATTAACTCCTCTGATACTTAAAGATCACTATGATTATCAGTATTCAGGATTATTTCTCTAGCTACTTGGCTTTTCATGCTGGGTCCTTCAAGCTTGTTAGGTCCTTTCTTGGATCACTTTTCATGCTGGTCCTTCAAGCTTGTTAGGTCCTTTCTTGGATCACTTTTCATGCTGGTCCTTCAAGCTTGTTAGGTCCTTTCTTGGATCACTTTTCATGCTGGTCCTTCAAGCTTGTTAGGTCCTTTCTTGGATCACTTTTCATGTTGAGTCCTTCAAGCTTGTTAGGTCCTTTCTTGGATCACTTTTCATGCTGGTCCTTCAAGCTTGTTAGGTCCTTTCTTGGATCACTTTTCATGTTGGGTCCTTCAAGCTTGTTAGGTCCTTTCTTGGATCACTTTTTATGTTGGGTCCTTCAAGCTTGTTAGGTCCTTTCAAGGATCTCTTTTCATGTTGGGTCCTTCAAGCTTGTTAGGTCCTTCCTTGGATCACTTTTCATGCTGGATCCTTCAAGCTTGTTAGGTCCTCCTTTGGATCACTTTTCATGCTGGATCCTTCAAGCTTGTTAGGCCATTCCTTAGATCACTTTTCATGCTTGATCCTTCAAGCTTGTTAGGTCATTCCTTGGATCACTTTTCATGCTGGATCCTTCAAGCTTGTTATTTCCTCCCTTGGATCACTTTTCATGCTGGGTTAGTCAAGCTTGTTAGGTCCTTCCTTGGTTCACTTTTCATGCTGGGTTCTTCAAGCTTGTTAGGTCCTTCCTTGAATCACTTTTCATGCTGGGTTCTTCAAGCTTGTTAGGTCCTTCCTTGGATCACTTTTCATGCTGGGTCTTTCAAGCTTGTTATTTCCTCCCTTGGATCACTTTTCATGCTGGGTCAGTCAAGCTTGTTAGGTCCTTCCTTGGTTCACTTTTCATGCTGGGTTCTTCAAGCTTGTTAGGTCCTTCCTTGGTTCACTTTTCATGCTGGGTCCCTCAAGCTTGTTAGGTCCTTCCTTGGATCACTTTTCATGCTAGATCCTTCAAGCTTGTTAGGTCCTTCCTTGGATCACTTTTCATGCTAGATCCTTTAAGCTTGTTAGGTAATTCCTTGGATCACTTTTCATGCTAGATCCTTCAAGCTTGTTAGGTCCTTCCTTGGATCACTTTTCATGCTAGATCCTTCAAGCTTGTTAGGTCCTTCCTTGGATCACTTTTCTTGCTGGGTCTTTCAAGCTTGTTAGGTCCTTCCTTGGATCACTTTTCATGCTGGGTCTTTCAAGCTTGTTAGGTCCTTCCTTAGGAATGAAGTTTTTGTAATAAACTTAGCTTTATAAATTTTAGGTTTATTGATATTAGTGCAAATCGTGTATCTTTTGCATTTTTTGACAAATGTATCGATAAATAAAAATGGTAAATATGAAAGCTGAAAAAATGGAAAGTTTATAAATTACATAAATTAAATATATCTTATAAATTAAATAAATTAAAATAGTGATTTTCTGTGAACATTGTTAAACAGAACAAATATTTCTTTAAATTTTTACAAAAAAAATCAAGAGTTTTGCTTCAAAAATGAGTAGGAATATTTTTCCAAATTGGAGGAAAACACGAGATAAACACTTTTTTATTTAAAATTTTAAAACAAAATATGCTAGACATATGTTATGTGTATTTAAAATTTATAAAAATTTATGACGTGCCGAAAGGCAAAACTTGCGACGGCTTAAATAAAAACGTTCATCTTGCCATTTTGGACAAGTGAAAATTTGTGTTTTAAATAATTTCGCCAAAATCATTCGAACCCTAAGAGAAAAATATATTTCACTGTGTTTTTTTTAGTATTAATTATTAAAAACAAATCTATAATATTTTTATTTGGGGTTAGGCAAAAAATAAATTTGTCTTGTTATAATAAGGTTAAAATTTTTTCTAAGTTCTCTTGGAAAAAAATTTAAAAATTTTTTACATTAACATTAATGAAAAAAATATTTTAAAAAAATAAGGAAAATTTTTTAGAAAGGATTTAATTTTAAAGGGGTTTTTTGCAATTGACAGTTTTACATATTCCCCCGGGACATTATTTAAAATAATTATAAAATATAATTATATTTTATATTATATATATTTTTTAAATATTTATTATATATATATATATATATATATATTTTTATATTATATAAAAATATTTTAATATATATTTATATTTTGGAGAAAAAGAGAGGGTTTAAAGAGGGGGTGAAGCTGTAAAAAGTGAGCAAATAAGAGGGGGTGAGTGTTTCAACAAATTTTTTTTAAAAAAAAAAAATTTTTGGAGTGGATTAACAAGTTAAGAAAACCTTGGCAAAAGGGTTTTCATTTAAAAATAAAGGGAAATTATTTAAAAGGGGAGTTTTAATATTGGAAGATGGGGGAAATTTTGAGGAATGTTAATGTTGATGAAGATAGGGGGCTGTATTTCGTGTATAGGCAGGAGGAATAAATCTTTTAGGAGGGGGAAAAAGCCATTTGAGTGGGGGGAAATTCGTGAGGAGTAGGTAAATGAAAGGGGGTAAGGCACCCGGGGTGATGGGATAAAGATAAAATGTTAAAAGCAGGTGGGGATTAGTTTTGGGTTGTGGTGCAAAATTTTTTAATAAATTTGGGAAGGGGAAGGTACCCAGGGATGGGGAGAGAGTCATATTCCTTTTGTATAAGGCAAAGGGGATAAAAAGATGCAAAAAAATTTTAGGGGGATAATTTTGCTGGTTACCTGGGTAAAGTGTATGGTAGAGTTATTTTTGAAAAAATTTTAAAAGGGAAGATGGAGATAGGATAGCAATGAACAAGGGGCTTTAGGAAAGTAGGGGGTGTGTGGAAGGGGTTTAATGAAAAATAATGAACATATTTTAAAAAGGTTAAAGAGGTCTTTGTGGCATTTTGGATTTGGAAAAGGGGTTGACAGGGTGGATAGGGTTCAATGTGGCAGATGTTGCAAGTGTATGGTGTAGGAGGTGGTTACGAAAAACAGTGAAGAGTTTTTACGAGGATTGAGCTAAGTTAGAGTATGAGGAAAGGGGAAATTTTTTCCCATAAAATAGGCCCTTTGACAAAGGTTTTTATGTAGTGGTTGTTTAAAATTTATTTAGATGGGGTTTTAAGGAAGTAAATGGGGGTTTGAAAACGGGAGTTTTGTTAAGAAAACAAAAAGTGGGGGGTTAAGTGTTTTTGAAATGTTTTGGGAGATTAAGAAAAGTTGAGAGATTGGTGGATAAATTTTGGGAGGGTTGAAAGAAAAAATTAAAGGGGAATAAGGAAAGAGTAAGGAGAAAACAAAAAATTTGGTAAAAAGTTGGTATCGATTGGGGGGAGAGATATTAAGGGAATTATTCGATATTTGGAGAGGACGTGTCAGCGGATGGGGCTTTAAAAAATGAGGTAAAACATAGAATTGATGAGGGAAAAAAGAGTGATGGTGCATTTGGGGCTGTGGGGACAAAGAACTTTGTCCTTGGGGGCAAAGAGGGGTGTTGAGATATAGTTTTTCCAACGCTCTTATATGGGGGTGAAACAGGGTGGAATGTTTGGGGAGGGGAAGGCTGGGGGCAGTGGAGATTTATGGCTGAGGGAATGTGTGGGTGATATAATGCAGAGAATTTGAGTTTGGAAATTAGGGGGGAGGTGCGGGATTACCAAAACGTTGTCCAGGGGGAGTACAGACTCGATGACTCAAGTTAACAGACTAACCCACGTTAGTGCCTTCCCAATCTCGGCTCCGCGCGGCGCTCCCCCCCCACCCCCCCCCCTTCCATGAGTGTATGTACAATGACAAGGACCTAAATTAAAAGTGAATATAGGAAAGAACACAGGGATGAAGATAACAAAAAATTGGGAAATTGAAGATTGGGTATCAGACTGGAAGGAGGAAGTATGGAGGAACCGAATGTGTTTAGATATTTGACACTGCAATTGTCAACCATATGGGTCTCGAAAACGACACTGTGAACCACAGAATGTATGAGGGGAGAGAAAAGGATGAGTTGTGCACTTAGGAGTCTTGTGGAGAAAAAAAAAACGTTATCCATGGAAGCAACGAAGGAAAAAGTATGAGAGTATAAATGTGAAGTATTGGCGGTGAATTTTGCAACAAGGAGAAGGCTGGAGGCAGTGAAGATGTTGTGTCTGAGAGCAATGTGCAGTGTGAATATTATACAGAGAATCCGTAACTTTGAAATTTGAAAGAAGTGTGGGGGTTAGTAAATAAAATAGTTCAAGGATAGCTGAATAGTGGTTTTTGATGTGTTTGTGGACATTTATAGTTGCTGAGACATTCAGAGATGATGGAGGGACATTTTAGAGTTTAGTGTGTGAAGGGCTTATACTTCTAGGCAAGTGGTATGAGCAATTGATAGATAGATAGATTTGATAGGAGTGAGTGGAGAAAATAGGTTTTAATGGACTTGATGTGTCTGTTGGAGTTTGAGTAAGGTAATAGTTTTGAAGGGATTCATGGAAACTGGAAGGAAGTAGGAAGTACAATGTTTTACCTGCACTCTGTAGGAGGAGTCGGAGATATATGCAGTTTTTAAATGTAGTAACAGTACGTGTCTTCCAAGACAATGATGGTTAAGGAAATTATGACGTTATGACGTCACACAGGGTGAAGACGTGTTTGTGTGACAAGGATA